ATTATATCTTACCCCGTTTGTTAGTTTGCGTCTATAGTAATTGTAATTCCCCCTCTTCCTGACGACAGATCGATCTGATATTTGGTACACACTCTTAATCTTGATGACCATCTTTATATATATAATTCTTCTGTGAGTGTGTATGTCACTGAACTTCTCTCAAACGACTGGACCGATTTCGATGAAATTTTTTGTGTGTGTTCAAGGGGATCTGGGAATGGTTTAGATTCACAAATCAGCCCGGCAGATGGCGCTGCAGTCGATGTTTAGGTTATTTATCCTAAACGGCTGAACTAATTTGAATGAATTTTTGTTTATACATTCAAGTGGATATGCAGGACAACGTCTGTTGGGTCCGCTAGTATATATATAATCATAATTATTTCCACAACTACCGTCACTATGTATATCAAACGAAAGAGCTTGATTGGTAGAAAGAAAAGAGCTCATTGACTCCGTCTAACATAAAACCATTATTATGTATTACTTATTGTCCGTGTACCATCACGCTAAATAAACCATTAAAACAAAACAAAGCTATTAACCAAATGCATTCGCAAAAAGCCGATAAAACATGTACATCAGTCATAAGAGAAACTCAAAACTTTTGAACTCACAAAACACGTTGTACTATTTAATAATAATAATAATAGTAAAATTAAAAATAATAATAACTATGTATACAAAAATAAGGAGAGAATAAAACTTAGTGCGAATCTATTTAAAGGCAGTCCCATCGCACTTCCTTAAAAAAAAAACTAAAAAAAATAATGTTGTACAATTTTGTACAGACGGCATGTCACGGCAGGTTTACCTGTATGAAACGAAAAACCCATTCCATACCGTTGAAAAACCCTGCCCGTATCGTTGAATAACCCATACCGTTAACTAATACTAATTTTAAAACTATTAATAAGGAGCCAGCGTCGGTGGTAAGAACCGGAAAATCAAAAAAACCCTACGTTTACATATTGGATGACATGTGCCTTTAGCCAAACGCCACTTTAGCGCTTGTCTACAGAGAGAGTAGAAATCGAAATGTATGGGGATGACACTGACAAGTGTCAAAATATACGTCAATTCCATATAATTTAGTTTTCTATTCTACATGTAGACAAGCGCTAAATGGCATTTGGCTACAGCTGCTGAATGGTGATAGTATTTCTGTGTTTTATAAAGCGCATTTGCTCGGTAAGCCAGAGAACAAGATATCAAAAAGTTACCAAAGAGACGGTAACTTTTTAATTTAATTAAGCATGTGTTATCTGTAAGTCAGCCAAGTTATTCAGTATGTAGGTAAGAAAAATATAGATTGTTTCAGTACAGAGACAGTAGCCATTGGTCGTCTAGAGCCGACCAATGGCTACAAAAGATATGGCTTCGTTACATAGCATACAATATACATAGTATAACAATAGCTACTGTCTCTGTACTGAATCTATCTTTATTTTCTTACCTGACTAATGTAGCTGACTATTATTTATTTTTCATCTTTATTGAATTAAATGAAAAAGAAAAATAAAATCTAATACTTTTAGATACGCTCGAGTTACATCTATACAAAACCGTACAGCTGTCACAGGGAAAAAATCAAAATAGTCAAATAAAAATTAAAAAAAAAAACTTAATATTAAATGCCTTTTTACGCATCTTCAAGATGTTCAATGGTACTATAGTTACGTAGATTTGAATGTTTTGTAACGGTCATCACACACAAACACCAACAGCCTATAAATGCCCACTGCTGACCAAAGGCCTCTTCTTATCTTCTTGAGCATTAATCACCACGCTTGCTTAATGCGGGTTGGCAATTTCAAACTTATAATTAGAAATTATAAGCCCAGGTTTCCTCATGATGTTTTCCTTCACCGTTTGTCAGTGGTGTCTAGATAATCTTAGAAAGTACATATAACTCGGAAAAAGTCACATTGGTACTTGCCGTTGGTAGGTTTCGAGCCCGCACTCTCATGCATAAGAAGCGGGCGTCTTAAACCTGCGGGCCACCACGACATATTGTGATCGTCTCCTGTGTCGTGGTTGCGTTTACAAACATACAAGTTCACATACACAACACACACAGACACGGAACAACCATTTGCGGATCACACAAAGACTGACAACAGTACCAAATCAATACTGTTATATTTCATTTGTCCATGCACTTACGAAATCAATACATTTTACATTATTTAACTTGCGAAGTATGATGTGTGTTCGAAGTGAAACCTTCAACAAAATTTTGAAGCAGATATCTTCACTGAAATTTTGTAGACACGTCTAGTTTGAATGACAATAAATGCTAAGATTTTTTTAAGGCATAAGCCGGTAAACGAGCAGACGGATCACCTGATGGTAAGCAATCGGCGTCGCTTATGGACACCTGGAACACCAGAGGCGTTACAAGTGCGTCACCGGCCCTTTGGGGGTTAAGAGTTTGAAGATCGTTGGGGAAGTTCCATAAAATCTTGTTCATTACAACTTTAGAGCCGTTACAAAGCGTCCAAATCTTATCTTGAAACATTATCTGATAGACACGACGAACATTTTTATTATAAAACGTCTAAAAAAGCCTTCTATGTCTAAGTTTAAGATGAAAAAAGTTACGATGTTACATTTTTAGTAGCACACCGTCCTTGGAGCCTTTCATAGCCGTAAGCGGAGTTAAACCACAGATTATTAGCACTACAGCGACTAAAAACTTGAATCCTAATCCTACAATATCTTTATATATATAGTTCTTCTGTGAGTGTGTATGCCACTGAACTTCTCTCAAACGACTGGACCGACTTTGATGAAATTTAAAATGATGAAAATTCTGGGATCTGAGAATGGTTTAGATTCACAAATCAGCCCGGCAGATGGCGCTGCAGTCGGTAACTAGGTTAGTTATCCTAAACAGCTGAACTAATTTAAATGAATTTTTGTTTATACATTCAAGTGGATATGCAGGACAACGTCTGTCGGGTCCGCTAGTCTATACATATAATAAAAACGTAGGAAAGTAAAAACTGAATGTACATTGAATATTTTTTCAAAAGAATACATGGAGCGTGATCTACAATCGATACCGAAGCCAAAATTAGAGTTTTTAGAATGTCTGTCTGTCTGTCTGTATGTAGGTCCGGGCTAAACTCAAAAAGTACTACATGGATTTTTTTCAAATTTTGCATGAATATTAGTAAGGGGTCGGGTCAACATATAGGCTACATATTATAACGCTATCACCTACGGAGTAGGAGCATACATAATCTACACACAATTGTCAAGTTTCACGATGATACAACAATTACAAGTGTGTGTAATTCAGATTCTTAGATTTTGTTACATAGTTCGTTACACGTCGAGAGCGTTTTAAATATGACCTGCACTAAGTCAAACGCGAGTTATTTGTAAAGGTGACTTAGGCTCAAAGTATTTTAGTCGCTATGGTACTGACTTAAAGATGAAAATTAGTGTTTAAGCTTTGAATGTAAAAAGAGTACTTGTGTATCAAATTATGAGTTACGAAACACGTCTGGAGTCACTGAACTATTTAAAATTTCAATATTGTAAAACTATGAACATTATGTTTATAGAAAAAACGAATACAGTAAAACCTGGTTAAGTGAGACATCAAGGGACCTGCAATGTCGTTTCACTTATAGAGGTATTCCACTTACCCAGTGTCTCAGACATACAGGTATAAATAAATATCTGTCTCATTTACAGAGGGTTCCATTAACAGAGGTGGACTTGGAATTACGTGTAGAATTTGTGGGTAGAATAAGAATGAGTAAACAAACAATGTTATCTCAGTTACAGAGGTTTATGCATATAAAATTTACTCGCTGTCTCAGTTATAGAGGTAACTATGATGATAAATCGAAAGAACAAATCCCAGATATAGAGGTTTACCTCGTCACACTAACAGGTAATTCAGTGCCAAAGTGTTGGGACCTCAGCATGAGTTCCACTTAACCAAGTTTCACTGTAAATCACGCACATATTTTGGAAAACCAAAAAGATAAATATATATGTATATAATTCAAATAATTATGCGAATCAACGAGAAAACAAGACAATTACAATTAGCTAAAAAATCACACAAAGAAATTGAAAAACAACTAATAATTTTGAACATAATATTATACAAAAATAAATTCAATAATATTGACTAGTTCAAATATTACTGTTAAAAATATTGCTTTTAATGTCACATCACTCGTTACGTTGAGATATTATTTTACCTAATTATATAAACTTTGAAAAATCAAAGATTTCAATAAAAAAATATACACTTCCGCATTATGAACTCGATCGTGACAGACAAACAAACACTAGTCATGTATAATTACAATTTCTTATAGACATCTTTGCCTATGTATATAGAAATAATTATATATCAAATCATTTAGTTGATACTCGTACCTGTTCGAGATGACTCGACAAGTTTCGGGCCACGAACGGGACTCATAGATATGAGTAAACAATTACGAGTGTCTGTTTGTCGTCTAATTAATTCTAGGCCGGTATTATAGAACGATGCTTAAGCGTAAATCTCTGCTCAAGTATAGAAAGGGATGCGCGTATCTGTTGAATATATTTGCATCTCTTTTATTTTATTTAACTAGCGTATTTGTGAAGTGGAATCTTGCAAGTCAATTTTGGAGCGAATATCTTCAACCGATTGAGCTGAAATTTTGTATACACGTCTAGTTTGCATAACCATAAATGCTGGTCAATTGGGTAGTTTCCTGTGTCAAAAATTAATTATTTTGATTTATCAATCCCATTAAATATTGAAAAACAGTTACACTTTCATTCATTAATTTGCCGATGTACTTAATTTTCGATTTATTCTAGCATTGTTTTTCAGATATAAGTGTGCTATTCGACGCGAAAATATGATGACGTCATAAGATGGTATTTCGTACAAAATTCAAAGAACAATATCGTTTTTGACGTTTCGTTATAAGTATTGAATTTTACTAGTTGTATTGTGTACTAGCCAAATTCAATACTTTTTTTCGAACTGTCAAAAACGACAGCTTTCTATGAATTTTGTACGAGATTGTGTATTGTGACGTCACGTTTTTACAGCGTCAAACATCATACTCATTTCTTACAATTCGCTGGAAAAATACTAAAATTAAGTTGATCGTAAAATCAATTAATGAAAGTGTGATTATTTTTTAATATTGAACAGTCGAAATAATTTACTTTTGATTAAGTAAAGTACCCAATAAATGCTGTGCAATTCAAATCGTGCCGTGAGATGAAGTATACCGAATTATATCATACTTTACTTGAGTAGCGATCTCTACTACGATCTATAACACCGGTTAAAGTTTGTCTGCGTCTAACAATGGTATATAATATATAATTTCTACAACATTTATATACTATAATAGAAAAATGAATCGCTGTCTTGTAAAAATGTCTTTGTAAGCGAAAATCTCGAGAACAGCTGAACCGATTACGCTAATCATTATCGCCCATGGACATGGCAACACTAGAGGAGTTGTCGGCCGTTTGGGGATTATAGGGATTTGGGATTTGGGGATTAGGGATAATTTTGTTATGCTTGTTGTATAGGGCTACCTTCAGGTAAGGTTGACGTGTTTCTTCTGGTGGGTTGGCTGTGGTCTAGGGCTCCGCTGGCGTCTGGCGTAGGGCTCCGTGTGTCGGCGTGTCTACTCGCGCAGTTTTAAAGCGTGGTCTTTGATGATGCCGCCGTCGCCCTCGGAGACGAAACGTTTGCGGCCCCTGCGTAGGAGAAAATGTCGTTGAAAACTCAGTTTCTTTGCTTGACGAATATAGGCTGTAGCGATACATTGTATTACTAATTAGCTTTTACCCGCGGCTTCGCTCGCGTTACAAAAGGATAAAAGTAGCCTATGTAACATATACCAATACACACAGCGCCATCTATACCAATACTTTTGTTTTCCCTCAAAAATATGATTTTTTTCCGGGATAAAAAGTACCCTATTATTTAATCTGGACTTCTACCTTTACGTCTGCAAAAAATCAAAGCAATCGGTTTAGTAGTTACGGCGTGAAAGCAGAACAAACAAACAAACTCACTTTCCGATTTATAATATTAAGTAAGGATGTTGAATAATTTTATTACTAATGTTGATTAATTTTTATATAGGAAGGGTAAAGGAACGTTTCTCCTTTCAGAGTGCCGAACGCGCTCGATAATATTACGTTACAAATGCTATACTTATTCGTGCTTTCTTATGAGGGGGGAAAATTATTCAATGACTGCTACCGCCTGGGTGAGGCGGGAGGGAGTGTCAGACTCTTACTGACTAAAAACCACCCCGTTCCTACTCCTGCACTTTGAGCTACCCATGCTCGCCGTCCGCAGACCCGCACTTACGGTGGCCGGAGATCATCTCCGACGGCCGGGGCTTGAGGAGATTCGTTCCGTCCCGAGTCCCGTCTCGTCCTTAGCTAGCATGACTGCTTTGAAGAAGTAGACGGCATCCCAGTCCCTCTCGCTCCGTACCATAGTCTGAAGAACCAGAGCCGGACGCGAGAGATCGCCGTCGCCGACTATATCCCTCGGTTGCCGATGCCCTGGATGTTGTATTAGTTCCTCAAGACAGTCCTCACCTGGTGGGCACCCGTTTGAGCACGTCGTCTCCGAGCCGGAACTTCTGCTGACACTTCTCCATGAACCGATCCAACATGATGTACGCAAGCGGCACGTCCAGTACTATGTCCGACATATCCTCCAGCACGCGGAGGAAACCCTGGTGACAACAATATAATATATTTTTTAAACATTGCCCCACATTTTTTTTAAAGTCAAAGTCAATGTCAAAGTCAAATCATTTATTTCAATTAAACCATAGTTTGGTACTTTTGAAACGTCAACAAATACAAAATAAATAATAGTCTGTCAGTCAGTCCGTCAGTGAAGCTAGGTGAAGCTAGGTGCTCATTCCAAAACGTAGATTCGAATGGAGAAGAACGAGCAAGAAACTCCATTCGTTACTCTTTTAAAAAAGTATGTTCTACAATGTCTCTGATACATATTTCAATACTGTACGCATATGTAAGAACAATGCAAAGACACGCTTGACGCATTATACTAAAAAAATAATAGGCGGGTTAATCATCGAATGACTGCTCCCGCCTGGGTGAGGCGGGAGGGAGTGTCAGACTCTTACTGACTAAAAACCACCCCGTTCCTTCTCCTGCACGTCGAGCCGGAGCCCCGGTTACCCGTTAGGTTCTCCGCTAGGATTGTCTCCTGTGTCGTGTGTTTACAAACATATATACAAGACCCGGAACAACAATCTGTGGATAACACAAAAGAATTGTTCCGTGCGGGAATCGAACCCATGACTCGTTGCGCGATAGACAGTTGCCCAGCCACCGTGCAGTCAATTAATTATGAAGCTAGGATACTTTATGACGAGTTAACTCGACTAGTTTCAAGCCAAGTTGGGGACTCATACTGTGAACGTAACTGCAACCGCCTTATAGCAGGCTTCCTCGATAAATTATTTTATTTGATTACAGCTTTATATTATAGTAATAAGATTACGCAAACAGGACAAATATTTACAAAAAATACAATACAGTATGTATATATATATATATATTAGCTACTTCCGCGCGGTTTCACTCGCTCTGCTCGGCGCCTTTTAACCGCAGCGTGATATTTTATAGCCTATAGCCTTCCTCGATAAATGGGCTATCCAAAACAGAAATAATTATTCAAATCGGACCAGTAGTTTCGGAGATTAGCGCGTTCAAACAAAGAAACAAACTCTTCAGCTTTATAATATTAGTATAGAGTGTATCTATATATTATGTATATGTAGTTTTATCCCCAATTTATTAATTTACTATTATAGTATTGTTATTTAGTACCTAATATTGATCATCTATACCAATAAATTTATTTTATATAATTTACATTATACCTATATAGTATACGGATATATGTATGTATTTACAATTTAAATTTATTTATATAGATTTATTCTGTGTCACATTGTAATAAATCATAATACCTATTACACCTACTGTTGGACATCTCTGCATCACCCCATGGTTGACTGTTAAGAATGCCACCCGGCACTAAGTCCGTATATTATATACAAAAGTGTAAATAAATAAAAAAATAATAAAAAAAGTACGTCATCATCATCATCAACAGCCTATAAATGCCCACTGCTGAGCAAAGCCTCTTCTCACACGGAGAAGGTTTGAGCGTTAATCACCACGCTTGCTCAATGCGGGTTGGCGATTTCAAACTTATAATTAGAAATTATAAGTCCAGGTTTCCTCACGATGTTTTTCCTTCACCGTTTGTCAGTGGTGTCTGAATAATCTTAGAAAGTAAATATAACTCTGAAAAAGTCACATTGGTACTTGCCGTTGGTAGGTTTCGAGCCCGCACCCTCATGCATGAGAAGCGGGCGTCTTAAACCTCCGGGCCACCACGACATTTTACATCGACATTTTTTCACGACAGAGAAAATCTATGGAACATCGTTTAAAGGAACAGGACAGACCACCTCATGTTATTAGGGCTAAATGCCGTTTGATATGTTGAAACACAACCTAAAAATATATTACTATCAAACAAACATGGAACATAAGCCTTTGAATGTTAACCCACTTTAACCACGCAATCTTGCAACCAACTTCAAAAGAGGTGCATATTTTTAACAAAAAAATCAAAACAATTCTTCAGCTGTTTATGTTTGGAACAAAAACATATCAGAGACGATTTTCAGTTAGGAGTATAAAGCGCAATGTCTGGTTACTCAAAGTGTCTCTTTGGAACTATAACTGTAAATTCCTGACAGGACAGGAAAAAAAGTACGTATGTATGACATACCCTGTCCATCTGGTCGGGGCTGACTATGACACACCTGTGCAGCTCGGCGAGGAACGAACAGAGTTGGTCCTCCACACTCGAGTTTATCGCTTCCACCGCTAGGAGGACGGTCTGAAACACACGGTAGGGGAATTTCTATAATAACTATCGTAAGACATGTTGAATTAACTAAAAATTATGACTTATTGAAATGATATAACATAACATCACGCCTTTTATCCCCGAAGGGAAAGACAGAGGTGCATATTACGGCACTTAATGCCACTGTATAATGTAACACCCACTTTTCACTATTTATGTTATGAGTCCCATGTAATAGGCTCACTATTGCCATATACCGGACACAATTCCAGACTCCGTGCTACTGCTGAGAAATTTTTAAAAACCTAGTACTACTTTGTCCGACTCGGGAATTGAACCCAAGATTCCTTACCCAGCAGTCGCACTTGCGACCACTAGGCCACCGAGGCAGTCATATAAATATACTGAGAAAAGCTCTACTAGTTTCGAGTCACAGAGGGACTGTTCCTCATGAGCAGCGTGCGCGGTCGAGCGATGTCCCGCAGCCTACTGGTAGACTCGACTCTAATAGTGTTCTCAGTATATTTACGTGAGAAACTCGTCATTTTTACTTAAAATAACATAACATCACGCCTTTTATCCCCGAAGGGGTAGGCAGAGGTGCACACAGAAGTAACACCAACTTTTCACTATTTATGTTATGAGTCCCATGTAATAGGGAGTGAGCGTATTGCCATATACCGGGCACATTTCCAGACAGACTCCGTGCTACTACTGAGAATTTTTTAAAAACCCAGTAATACTTTGCCCGACCCGCAAAAAGTCAAGTCTGCAAAAATTCAAAGCAATCGGTTTAGTAGTTACGGCGTGAAAGCGGAACAAACAAACAAACTCACTTTCCGATTTATAATATTAGTAAGGAAGTAAGGATTACCTCATAAACTAATTCATGGTGGAAATGTGGTACTTCCAGCTCTCTGACACATCTCATGGCCTCAGCGAGGTCACTCGACGTCAGATACTCCTTCAGGAGTAACTGGATTTGACGGATCAGGGACTTCACCGGTCTGAGGACAAATAACATCATTGTATTAGTAGTATTCTAAAATAAGCCAAAATACCTTGGAGGTCTTTGAATCTAAGGACTGTGACGTCACACGATATTTCAAATTAATACATCGTCGAAAGTATTAAATTTGCTGATAAGTGAAAATATGTGTCTGATGCTTTAAATTAATCTACCAGACGAACATTAAAGGCTGCTTCGTACGTGTGAAAGGTATGCGGAGGCTCATGGGCTCAGATACAACGTAAAGAAAAGCGAGGTTATGGTTTTTAAGGCATTAAAAAAGAATCTCTCAGACATACCACCTGTTTCACTTTATGGTACGCCTTTAAACCGAGTAGCTCATTTCAAGTATCTGGGCCACTGGGTTACCGATGATCTGAAGGACGATATGGACATTGCGAGAGAACGTAGGGCGTTGTGTGTCCGCTGTAATATGTTGGCTCGAAGGTTCGCTCGTTGTGCCCAAGAAGTGAAAGTAACACTATTTAGGGCATTCTGCCAAACATTTTATACATGCAGTTTATGGGCTAAATACACGCAGGGGACGTACAATGCCCTCCGGGTTCAGTACAACAACGCGTTCAGGGTGTTGATGGGGCTGCCGCGTTACTGTAGTGCGAGTGGCATGTTCGCGGAGGCGCATGTGGATGGATTCCATGCGATCATGCGTAAGCGTTGTGCATCAATGATGTCACGAGTGCGCGGTAGCCCTAGCGGCATGCTGGCCGCGTGTGCCGGACGCTGGGATTCGGTGCTGATGGCGCACTGGATAAGCCTACACGTGAAAGAAAGTGCCTGACTTAATCATAAGTATGTATGTATATCTATGTATCTTACTAACACTAGGCTAAGAATATTGTTACTAACTAATTACTCATTTATTTAATTGTATGTTATTATTGTTTCTAATTATTATTGTTGTGTGTATTTTTACTAACACTAGGCTAAGAACATTGTTACTAACAAATATGGACTAAGTCTGAAATAAAATTTATTATTATTATTATTATTATTAT